TCACAGGGTCAGGCTCCCAGCTCACAGGGTCAGGCTCCCAGCTCACACGGTCGGGCTCCCAGCTCACACGGTCGGGCTCCCAGCTCACACGGTCGGGCTCCCAGCTCACACGGTCGGGCTCCCAGCTCACAGGGTCGGGCTCCCAGCTCACAGGGACGGGCTCCCAGCTCACAGGGACAGGCTCCCAGCTCACAGGGTCGAGCTCCCAGCTCACAGGGACAGGCACCCAGCACACACTTTGGACTCGGCTGCACCTCAAAGTTGCTTAGTGTTTGCTCACTTAGTGCCTACCTGGGTGCTCACAGCATCATTGCCTTGCCCAGCGTTCTGGTGCCAGGCCTGTTAGCACACTGGCACTTCGGCCAGAGCCAAAGGCTGTCAGTACTGCTGTAACAATGTGCTCTTTTGTGCAGAAACACAGACAGGCTGATTGTCCGTAGGGATCTTTCCAGGAAGGGGGATGACTTCAACATATCAATCCAACACCGCAGCATGTGCCAGATGACCATCCGGCAAACACATGGCATGGGTACAGCCTCTCATGGGTACAGTCCATGGGCTTGATCCGGGGTTATGTACAGGGAGTAGGAAAATGTCAGTCCCGTATGGGCATCACAACCGCATGGTATGGTCAGTGAATCACTGCAGTATAGCCTGGGCAGAGTGCTGTTCACCCTAGGGTGTTGTGGTCTGCACAAATGGAGCAGGCAATGAGGCAATGTGCTGGATTCTGAGGAACTAGGGGAATGGGAACTGTTTCCCACATCACACTCCATTTGCCAGATCTCTACTTACTTAATCAACCTCTCCGTATCCCTTTCTAGCCTCATTGTGTCCATTTCATAACTTATTTTTCTATCTATCTTTGTGTCAGCAAATTTACCAACTGTATTTTTGGTCCCTTTATCAAGGTCGTTTATATAAAGTGACAAAGGTTGAGGTCCCAGCACTGATCCCTGAGACATATTAATCGTTACTTCTTGACGATCAGAAAAGACTCATTTTGCCTTACAAAAACAGAAGTTGCTGGAAAACCTCAGCAGGTCTGTGAAGAAAAAAATCAAAGTTAACGTTTCGGATCTGGTGACCCATCCTCAGAACATTTTGCCTACTCCTGATCGCAAACCATCCACCATACATTCCCCTTTATCCGCAGCACACATCAGTGAAGTCCAATAAATTGTTTAAATACGATTTTCCTTTCAAAAACATGCTGATTCTACACTGAATTTTTCTAAGTGCCCTGCAATAATTTTAATAATAGCTTCTAACATTTTCCCAATGACAGGTGTCATGCTACCTGGCCTGAAAGATCCTATTCTCTGCTTCGTTTCAGTGAAGGATTATTTTCCTGTCTGATGGAACCTAATTCGAATCAAGGAAATTTTTGGAAAATTAGAACCAACACATCAACCATCTGACTAGCCACTTCTTTTAACACAGGAACAGGAGGAGGCCATTCAGCCCTTTGAGTCTGTTCTGCCATTCAATAAGATCATGACCTAACTGCAGGTACCTGCCTTTGGTTTATGCTCCTCTATGTTTTTGCTTAACAAAAATTTATG